CAGCTTTGAGCGTAGTGCAAGTCCTTTATAATAACAAAACCAAACGTCTTCTCCCATTCCTCGGGTCATTGCTATCATTCATTTTACTTACACAGAAGCTATAATCATAAATTCATTATTGCTATGTTATTCTCAACAAAATGTTACCTGATAGATCTAGAATAAGAAAAATAAGTCTTTGCTTTTCCTGCACTTATTCTGTCTCCAGTGCTCCTCCTTGCTTTACGTAGACCTGGGTTTCTGACCTATATTATATTCCTTCTCTTTCAAATAACTTCTTTTGACATTTCCCACAAGGCAAGTCTATTGACAAGAAAGTCCCCAAATCTTTTTTTCTCTTAGGAAGTCTTTATTTCTTCTTCATTTCTGGTGCATAATTTCACAGGGTACAGAATTCTAGGTTGGTGGAGTTCTTCTCTCAACACTTTAAGTATTTGACTTCTCTCTCTTCTTGTTTCCATGGGGTTTTAAAATGTACCTGGAATTTGTTTTCACCAGCTTTTTAAATTGGGATCCATGATATCCCATTTTATTAAGCAAGTCTGTAAGAGCCAAAGACTTACTTTTACTTTTAGTTTATTATGGGATGTATTAGATAGCCTATGCCCAGCTCTGGAAGCTGTCTTAGTTCAGATTGCTATCACAAAGCACCACAGACCAGGTAGCTCATTTAACAGCATCCTGGGGGCTAAAAGTCAAGATCACAGTGCTGCCATTGTCAGGTTCTAATGAGAACTACTTACTGGATTGTAGACTGCTGACTTCTTGTATTCTCACATGACAGAAAGAGCTAGCTAGCTCTTGGCTCTCTTCATTCAAGGCACTAATCCTGTTCATGAGAACTCCACTGGCCTCATGAGCTAATTACCTCCCAAAGGCCCCACTTCAAAATAGCATCACACTGGAATTAAGATTTCAACATATGAACCTTTTTAGGGAGGGGCACAAACATTCAGTCCATTGCAGATATGTTAGAGCAATAGATACTATGACTATGAGAAATTTAGGAAAGGCTACAGTTCAAGTGAAGCATAACTATTTTTTTCCTCTGTATTTTATACTTACTTAATTTTTAAGATTATATGGGTTCTCATGTTTCAATTTAGTGAGATCTCCAAGTATAATTTTAGTCCCAGTATTGATTAAATCTATGAAGTCTTGTTAATTGATTCATTTTAGCAAATGCTGAAGTTAACTTAAACCTATATTATAGGAGTATAAAAACCAATTTTAATTTTTTTCCTATACAAAATTCTGTTCTATGTATCTTTTTATATAATTATGACATGTAATTTGTTTTATACAAACTTTAGTATGTAAACTTTGGAATTTCAATTGAATCCAATTAAGTCCCTTGGTGGCTCACTCCAGCGTGTTGGTGGTGGGGATGGTGAAAAGACAGCAGATTTGGGGTATATGTTGGAAAGAGAACCAACAGGATTTGTGAGTCAAGAATATCATAAAGGGAGTTTGGGTCTTCTGAGCACGAGCTGCCCATTCTCCTTGATTGGAGCCCTGCAGTAAATGCTGTATTTCATTCACCATAACCTGGAGTCAGTAGCTTAATTTTGCTGCACATTGGGTGAGAGGATCTGAGTTTGGTTTGGTAACAAGAAGAAAGTGAAAGCGTCTCATGGTAGCTTCCAAGAGCCGTCCCTAAGATTGTGCAGCTTTCCCTCTGCCATTACTCCTTCCTCCCTCCTGCTGGATAAAGTACAGAGAGACTGGCTGGACATCCAGGAACTGTCTTGGATTATGAGATAACCCTGGGAATAGCAGCCACACAAAACAAAGCAACAAAATAAAACTGAAAGAGCTTGCATCCCTGCCATCAAGGTGACCCATATCAGCCCAACACTATCTCCGGATTTCTAGAACTTGAGAGAAAAATAAAATTCCTATGTGTTAAGTGACACCCCCCCTCAAAAAAAAAAAAAAGAATATTGTAATATTTTCAAGGAAAGCAACTACACAGATGGAGTCACCATCAACTGACATGGGGACCACTCAGGAGGAACAGGTTTCGGACGGAGAGACAAAGCGAGTTCAGAGTGAGGCATGGAAAACCTACTTCATGTGGTACTGAGTTCTCAGTCACCAAAGTCTTGAACTATTTGGTGCCAAAGGTGGAGAAAGTAAGGGACACAAAGGTAGACAGGCAGATAGGAAGGTGGACAAGCAGACAAAGTAAGGAAAGCAGTAGCTATCCAATTAATTGTTCAGGGTTTTGTTCGACAGTTTGTGAATAAGGTGGAAAAATAAACCAGCTCTAAGCAATCATGTGGCTCTAAACCTTAGTTTGAAACTGTACGCTAGCTGATTGCTTTAGTCTGTGTCACTTTATGGTACCAAAGGATATCACAGATCCAACCCCACAACATCAACCCAATAGTTTTGCAGTTGTAGGATCATTTGTTCGCCAAAGAATATCCTGAGGGAAAGCTGCTATGAGGTCTCCCCTTTTCAAATGAATAAAAATGCATTACATGTGTCTCTCTGCACTTACAGATACACTTCACATGTAGGAGACTCTTCCAGTCTAATCATAATGTTTGATACAGATATATTCATCAGCCCCTTCACTCTCTCTACTTAGACTTATTTGCTTTCAATCTACAGTCCACAACTGGGATTTATAAGTGAATGTTTGTTCAAAACAAGTTCTGAAATGAAAAATGTTCCAGAGAAAATTAATTAAGAATTAGCCAAAGCAAACAGTCATCCTGTGCAACTAACCAAAACCAACAGCTATAAGGAAAGCGTGCGCAGCTAGATAAGTGTTAGCGGCCTCCTTCTGTCCTCAAAAGACAAGCCGCCACCTACTTTAGCTGAAAGATTTATTTGCCATTGTGAAATACAATGTCTCAACAGAAACCCTGCAGGCCAAGTCTTGGTTGAGAGTCTAGGCTCTGTCTTTTGCAATGGACAGGGCGGGGTTGGGGGGGGGAGGGTTTTATTCATCTTTTGCAATTGTCTAGGATCTTGATTTTGCAATGGCAAAGCAGGGGGACATTATAAAAGGCATGGTGGTATGGCCAGATGGGGGATTCGACCATATCCTGATTCTACTGATTCTCCAGAAGACTTCTCTACTCCAGACAGGCCCCCTGGGTCATTATCCTCTCTACACATAATAAAAGTCATACCTCCTTGCTCTTCCTTTCATACCCTCCCAGCCTTGTGTTTATCTCCTCAGAAAAGCTATCCTTGTTCATTTCCTTTTCCTATTCTTAACATTCAACATTTTCTCACTACATTTTTCTAAAACCCTTGCTATTGACCCAAACTGTACTCAACAAAAGGGATACAAAAAATGAGTAGGACATTGTCTCAACACTCAAGGCCCAGTGGGCACACCAAGGGGAGGGTGTTCCTTTCTACCTGAAACACTGAGATTTAAAAAAGGCTTCATGCAGGAGGTGATGCTTGGGTTAGCAGATATTTAGTGGACATTTACCAAGTGAATAAAATGAAAGAGGGAACTAAAGCTAATGTTTCCAAACATTCATCATCTTAGGGCCTAACCCATAAGCAAAGGGAGAAACATTAAAAAGTTTAGAGTCATGCAATCATACACTAAGATTTGGTGTTCAAAAATACTGCTCTGAAGTAGTGTAGGTGACCTGGGGACAGTCAAGACCACAGCTAAGGAGAGTCGTTAAGAGACTGTTGTCATATTCCAGGGGTGATAAGCGTCTGCACTGAGGCAGTGATCCTGGAGAGAAGTAAGAGAATGTTAAGAAGTACTTAACCTCCAGTTGGATGTCAGGAGTCAAACTGAGACTTATTTGAAATGACTCCTGTTTTGAGAGAAGGGATAAATGGTTTGGTTACATCCTTAATCCAAGTAGGGAGCTTGGAACATGATACACGCTTCACAGGAAAGATAATGAGTTCATGTTGGGGTAAATATTTTAAAACCCTGCATTGTGTGCCTACCGCAGGCCAGACACTCCTTGAAGCAATAGGTAGCTGGTCCGCAAGAGCAGGAGCTTGAGGAGACGGAAAATAAACTGCTGATAAATACACACATCGGACCTTGATCCGTCGTGCAAGCCTGATAGGGATCAGATCCATGTGGAAATGCTCAGGAAGCCTGAGTCTCCGTGGGGCAACCACGGAGTCATGAGTGAGGTCTTGGCCAGAGTTACATGTCTGTGAATCAGCTTCAGTTCCTAAACAGTCATTGATGTGACTGATGTGAATGAGATTTCCCAGGAAAAGGACAGAGTGACAGCACAGCCACGTGCTAACAATGATGAAGACAGATGGCTAAAATGTCTGCACTGAGAGCCATGCATCGATGGCTACGGAGACTAGGAAAAAAGGGTCACTGACCAAGCCCTCCCTAGTCAGTGAAGGCGTTATCGGGGAGGAGCTGTCAGAGCACTAGAACTCTCCTGGGAGCTCAAGAAGGGAAAGAGAACGCTGGCGGAAGAGCCACGTGACAAAGGAGGAACAGGGCATCACGGAGGGAGGGCCGGTGCAAGGCTGAAGGTGGCAGGAGATGAGCTGAAATGCCAGGTCAGACCCAGATCGCCAGCCTGCTTGCTGTTGAATCGACATTGCCTAAGCTCCGTGCTTTGTCCTTCCTGCTAACTTGGCTTTCTGTCTGTCCTGTGATTTGAGGCATTTTTCTTTTTCTTCCTTTCTTTTTTTAACCGTGCCTCTCTGATGATCTTCATGGCTCTTTGTGAGCAGAGATCTTTGCTTCCTTTTTTATTCCGCATTCCTTTTTCCCTCAGACCTTACATCATTCTCTTCCTCAGTTTGATTTCAGAGGCTTAGTTTACAAAATAATTTAAAGAAATATTATTGCTCAGATCTGAAGAGACTCACAGACTTGGCATTCCTCTATCAAATGACCAAAGATGAGTAGATGATTTTTGTGGGATTTGGGGCATGATTCTTTTAGATAAAGAACACTTTTGTTTGGCTAAGCCGTCAAATAGGGAAATCTTTGATGGTGAGAGAAAAGCCTTAATTTTAATTTTTTTTTCTAAGTCAGACAAGACTAATAGCAAATGTAGAGATATAAGGAAAGACAGTGTGACATTTAAGAGTTAAATTTGGCTTAAAGATCTGATCCAGAACCGTGTGTGTGTGTGTGTGTGTGTGTGTGTGTGTGTGTGTGTGTGTGTGAGAGAGAGAGAGAGAGAGAGAGATGTATGCGTGTGTCTTTTTTATGAGACTGACATGTCCAGGAGGTGATACAGATGAGAACCCCATCTCCACAGAAATGAGTGCAAAATTTTCACATTTAAACCAATAATCATGAACAAAAAAGAAGACTGGGAGGCTGATAAGTTTTACCCCATAAAGTAAAGCAATTATCATACCTTTGGTACAGACAGTTCAGAAATAATTTAAAACACAGCCACAAAGCTGGACTTATTAGCATCACTTGCAAAGAAATCCTCATGCTTCACCAGCGTCAATAGCATCGGCAGTGTCTGAATGATGCTCTGCTTTGGATCTTTATCAAGCCCTGGCCCCTTCATCACCACGCTTTGCCGGTTCCTCATCCATGGAAAAAGAGACATTGGTAAATTTTCAGAATTTTGTAATTTGGAGCCAACGCTATTTCAACACCCCCACCATCCTGCTAAACAGAGCATCACCCCTGCTGAGGAGCTGAATACCCCCTCTGTTTTCTACTCTCTCCTTCCCCGCCTCCCCCCCCCGCCACCTCCCATAAACACGTATCTTAAATTTTCATTATTCAGGAAACCGTCTAATTCAGAGCAACGTTTTACAGATAAAGAAATTGAGACCCAAAAGGATAAAAGGAATTACTTGGTCCCAGAGCCAGTTTGTGGCAGAACAGGAGAAAAACAGGTAACTCCATCCTAGGACATGTCTCTCTCTGTAGCTTCATTCCTTTTTCAGCAAGGGCAGGACTTGAGGGTTGATGGAACACAGTTTGCAAATAAGACTCATTTACATATCCTTTTGTGGATACCGCCTTCTAGTTCACAGCCCCCTTTCCCTACTTCCTCTTTTTAGTTCCCATTTAAAATGACGGCACCAATACGTCTAGGCTGTGAACATTTCAGGGAATCCAAGAAGTAAGATTCAAGGTGGGTAGGCAGATGGGTGGATAAATCTAGTAGGGGACTGAGAAGAGGAAACAGATTTGAACATGCCAACTTTCCCACCTAGGAGCTGTTATTACCGATGAGACAGTCCTCCTCTGGGGCGGAAAGTGACCTGGGAATGGAAAGGGAGGAGAGAAGAGGCGTCAGATTATCGGGGATTTCAATGTTCTTTTCCAGGGAAGTAGGTACTCAGGAAACGCTAGTAGCTAGTAGGTCACGAACAGAATCTTTCCCCTTAACTCTGGAGTAAATTAAGCCAAAGACAGATAGAGGAAAGAGTACTCATCTGGGCTTGTCTTTTGTTGGCTCTGCCAACTCCTGGATTTTCCCCTTTGCAACTGGAGAAAGATGCCAAATGTATATTTCCCAGAATGCTAAGGAGGATTTGTGCAATGTCTGTCCTAGGTGAAAACCATCCACTCTGTGCCATGAACAGTGAGGAGAAAATACCCTGGAAATTCATGGCAGGCTGCGGGCAGATGGCGTATCTCCTGGGAATTCTTTCTGACTATGGAGAGACTGCAGGAACTCCGCACTAGATCAGAGACATGCCCCTGCAATCCTGCCATTGTTACTGAGGCCATGGGTTTGGGGGGCTTGAGGCTATCGCCACAGAATGAAATCTGTTCCAGGGCCTCCTGTGAAGCTTCCCCCATCATCGTTCCCCTGTGATGTTATCTTGCTAAATGCAGCGTATCTCAGATAGTGCCAGTGACAGGAAATTCACCGCGTACTGAAGCAGCTCACAACGCTTCGTGACATTTTTGACTGTTAGAAGTTCTCCTTCAGGTGTTTGGCCAAAATCCTCTCTGTAGATTCTACTTACTGTTCTTTGACGGCCACTTTTTAAAAATGTAAATACACCCTCAAACAATAATGACAATGAGGACAGTATTTAACTTTCTCTGAAAGCCATTTAATATAAAAGCCATGTGAAGGTCATATGTTATAACACTCTATAATAAGTGAAAAAATTTGGGGGGGAAATTCCAATCTTTCAGAGGTATCCTGAATTCTGAATATCTGGTGTATGGGTTCTCACTTAAATTCTTCTGAAGGAGAATGAAGATCCTTCTTCCTCCAGAGCACATTCTTTTTCTAGCCCCCCAGGCCTACCATCCATCCCCCAAAATATATACATTCCTAGTAATTTGAAGCTGTTGCCAAAATGCGATCTCTCTTCCTCACATGATTCCAAAGACTACTTGCTCCAAATAAATAAGGCAGCTATTTTTAATTTTTAAAAGCAGCCTGAAATACAATCATTTGCACAATTAAGTTAAAGTGTATGTTTTAATAAAGTCTGACGTGTATACATGCATGAAAGCATCACCATAGTCAAGGTACTTTCTTCATGTCCCATTGTAATTCCCCTTTCCTGATCACCACCCACTGCATTTGGAAACCACTGATCTGTCTTTGTCACTATTAATTAGTTTTCCTAGAATTTCCTAGAATTCTGCATAAATGGACTCATACCATATGCACTGTTTTTCTACATAGGAGTCAGGGAGCCTAGCTTCTTTAACTCAAAATAAGTATTTTAAGATTCATCCAGGTTGTTGCTTATATCAACAGTTTATTCCTTTTTTATTGCTACATAGTATTTTGTTGCATGAATATATTACCCACCTCTTTTGTGAATACTCGGGTTGTTTCCATTTTGGGGTTATTACAAATAAAGCTGCAATGAATATTTTGGTACAATCTTTGCATGGACATTGTATCTTCATTTCTTTGTAAATATTTAAGAATGGAATGACTAAGTAATATTGTAGTATTATTATTCAATGACTGAGCAGCCAGTGAATCTAAATCACACAACTGAGTGCAGTAGTAGCTTCACGATGCTCTACTGGCCAAATATTATGAGGCACTTAATCAAACATTGTTGAATAAAAAAAAATCAATTCACTTTTTCTGTACAATTTGCATCTCACCTTCATTCTAGTCAAAAAAATTAATAAAGTACAGGTAACTGTATACAAAGGAGACTCAAAGAAGATAAGAAATTTACCTTCCAACACAAAGCTGGTAAATTGCGAAGGTGAGATTCAAAGCCACTTTAGTGTTTGTCTAGAACCTACGCCTCTTTCTCTCTGCCACTTCCTATCTCTATTTCGGTTGGCCTCTTCCTGTCCTTCTCTCTCTCTCTCCCCCCCCCCTCCTCCCTCTTTCTCTCTCAGCATGCCTTTGATGCCTCAGTGAGGTTTATGGAGAAGGTGTGATTTTAGTTAGCCTTAGATAGGTGGGTGATATTTGAAAAAAAGCAAGAAGAAATACCAAATGTGTGGAAATAAGAAATCATGAGATGTGTCTGGGAGACTGTAAAGAGATTAGCCTGAAAAAAAAGTGAAGATGTATGTAACACATCCGGTACCCCAGCCCTCAGAGTTGCCCTTTTTCTTCTGAGGAGGGAACTGCTATGATTTCAGAGGAAGAACAGGACATAATGAATTGAAATAATCAGGTCTTGCTTGATAGAGGCAGGTTGATCAGTTAAATACCCACTAAAATAATCCTGATTATGTGGAAGTGAGAATTTGAAGATGAAGATGGCAAAAGGAATGGAAAGGAAGGTCCTGGTGTAAAACACAAAGGAGAAATGACCCACATTTTATAACTAATTAGGGACAAGTAATTTTTGAGTTCTCTCTTATGGGAAATAAACCCTGTTTAGTCCAAGAATTAACCAGAGAAGCCCATCAGCATAATTTTCTCAGTTAAGCAGCCAGAAAGGAATGACTTACTTGTTTCATTAGCAGGCTGATTGTTTGCACAAAAGGATCTTTCAGATGATCCCGCCTAGTAATCTTCTTGGGATCATCTAAACAAAGATATAAATACAGGATGGTTGAAAGATGAAACTGAATGTAAGTAACCTCAAACAATTCCCTGCAAGATGCTGCTGAAAAGAATTCTCAGATTGATGTCTTGGCAGTTTCTTCTTTGCTCCCTAAAGAACTGCTCACCAAATGTCAGCCTTTTGAGAATCCTCCGTTGTTTGGTAGCAGTTATTTGAAGTTTTGCAACATGAGGCTCATGGTTAAAATGCGTGGTTCATGTTTAGCTTTGTTGGATTTCGGATGAAAAGGAGGATGTCAGGAAACACTAGTGAGTAAACAGCTGAAACCTGGCAAAGATGATGAAATCAAAAGGGTTGTCAGGCTAGGAAAGTCTTAAGAAGAACCTCTGGATAACCGTTTATAACATTATCTTTCCCTAAGGACCCAAGAGATGGAAAATATACTAGTTTTTCTAGGAGCAGCTTTTGGCAAAACGCTGTAAATGAGCTTCATTAAAAACATCTTGGTGCCGCCAACCCATGGGCTGGAATATGTAACACATATGTTTAGGGGCTAATGAGGCCTTATGGGGGAATGATCCCACGGAGACCCCATGGGAGAGATACTCATTGAAACAGACTTTCCTGCTTCCTTGCACGGGCCTTAGAAATCCAGTGCGAGAGTTATTTAACTGCCATAATGTTGGTTTCTGTTTGCCACTTTACCCTCATTTCCCCCCTTCGAGCAAAGGGCAATGTCCCCTGTCTCTGTCTAGAATTACGCCGTCTCGGTGCACTCGGTTTCCCTACCCCAGTATACTCCTTGAGGCTGTAGCTCTGGGTCTGGTTCACAGGCAGAGTGAGTATGGTCTGAAGAGAGCCTGGGTGGGGAGAGAATCACTGAGTCACTTTCATGTCAGAGACCATGGATTAAATGTGTTGCACAATCAGTCTCTTTATTTTCATAGCAACCCCAGGGAAGGGCACAGTGTAACAGGTTCAAGCTCTTCCAGGCAGCAGTAGAAGAAATGAAGTTTGGAGCAAGCAGATTGCTACCTTGTAGCAGAAGCTGTTGGTACCCATCCCATTCCTTTTTCCTGTGAGTAAGCCAGGTGTTGCCCTGTCTGAGAACGTTCAGTGGCAGTACCAGGGAGTCTAGGAGTCCCAGAGACTCCCCAGGAGTCCCCTCCACCACATACACACACAAAGCAGACAGCTGATGATGGAGGATGGTAGGCAGTGTGTACACTCAGACTCCAATACCTTCTGAGCGGGAAAACTCTGAAGCTCATAAATTACTGACTCTCAGAAGTCTCCAGTGGGGTGAAGCTCCTGCTACGTGGGCTGACGACCAGCTTCCTCATGCCTGTTTATTACCTGTCTTCCCCTTACTATGAGTGTATAACGTGCAGTCACCTCTAACAGAAATTGCTTGAAGCATGGTAACTTTCTGGGGAAACCCAAACTCAGAAATACTGCAAAGCTAACCTTATTCTCGAAGGCAGATGGAAGGCAACCTGTTGGATGTGTTTACGTGTGCTGCCCTGCGGTGCCCTTTCCTCATCTTTCTTCCTCCTTCTGACTTCTCTGTCTTAATTCTGCAGGTGACCACATGCCTTCCAGCTGCCAGCTGCCTCCTCCTTCCTCCCGCCTCTCCTTCATTAACTATACCCTGACTTATCTCAATGAGGTGTTGGGGAGTTTCCGATCCCGTCAAAGCAGCTCACTCTCAGACGTGAGTGACTGATAGCTTTTCACACATTTGCATTTCAAAATAACCTGTCTTTTATCCAAATGAATCTCTAATGAGTGCTGGCTCCGGCATCCCATAGAAATGAAGACCTTCAGCCTTTGCGATACACAACAGTGAAGGAAACTGAAGAAAAAGACAGGAATTTCTGTCTTGAAAGAAGAATTTCTTCTTCTTGAAGAAGCTGGGCAAGAGATTACTAGAGACATAACCTGAGCTGGGCTTTGCAAGACAAATAGGATTGAAGCAGGTTGCAAAGATAGGACAGGGTATTTAGCAGAAAGACTAACTTCTGCTTTTTTTTAATTTTGAAATAGTGTTAGATACACTTAAGAATTTCAAAGATAGGACAGAGAGCCCTGTGCATGCTTCATCCAGCTTCCTCTGGTGTTAGTATCTTCTATTTCCGCAGTACATTTATCGAAACTAAGATGTTAATACTGGTGTAATACCACGGACTAAACTATAGGCTATTCAGATTTCAACAGCTTTTCCAATCATGTCCTTTGCTTCTATTCCAGGATCCAGTCCAGGATAGCACGTTGCCTTTAATTATCGTGTCTCCTGAGTCTCCAGGCCACGGCAGTTACTCCATCTTTTAGAAAGACCCTTTAACATTCAAAATCCAAGCTGTCTCACAGGTATTTATGTACTATAGAATCCATTTTATAGATAAGAAAACGGGTTTACAAACAAGAAATAATGTTGAGAGTCACATATAATGAGAACTAGGTCTAATTCAGGTCAACCAGACGTCAGTCCAACATGACACATTTCTACCTTGTCTTCTCTTTAATTTTACTCTTTCCCAACCCCTGTCTCCTATCATTTCTCTCCTGATCTTTCCTCCTAAATGCTCACTTTCTACCCCCACCCCTACCCCCACCCCCACGGCTTTTCCTACTCTGCGTAAGATGCGAAGGCCTGGCAGAAGATGAAATAATGTCTTCTAGTTTATCCCCACTATGACCTAGCATAAGGCTACTCTCGTCGAGCACCAAACAGACTGGAATAGCAGAAACCCTGGGAAAAAGAGAATGTTGGGAGTGGGGGGAGCTTTTTGTCATTGCAGCTCAAAGCAGGACTTTTTCTCAGGCCACTGGAGGCCTCAGGCCAGATGACTTTTCATCATAAAGCATTTTCTTTCACCATTGACCACATGTCTCCTTTTCCCCTCCCGCTCCTGTTCTTTTATTAATTTTGGCCTGGAGTTTTCTTTCTCAAGGTGGGTACAAACCAAGGACTAGCTGCTTCCCACCTCGTGTGTTAGACTGCAACAACGTCCTGGAGGAGAATGGCACGTTTCCAAGATGACCATTGGCAGCCAAGGCATTAAAAGGCTTTGTATCATGGGAGGATATAAATCATGCTTCACACCTGGCCCTGTCTGTTTATTAGGCTGTATTTGCAAAGCACTCTGCTTACCCCAGCATTCTGTAGTTAATAGCACTTTCCTTCCTGGAACAAATTTCCCCTAAAGCTGAGATTGTAGAGGGTTGCCGTGAATTTTATTTCTGAATGGAGCCCAGAGACAAAGCCTGATCCAAGGAGCGAATTCTGAAAAGGTGATTAGCACAATGCTGGGTGAACTTAGACACCTCCACCCTCACCTCCACCCCAAAAGAGCACTTGTTAGAAGCTACAGGGAGTCTAGTAACTGGAAAGCAAGCAGTATCTCAGCATGGGGTACACATGACATCACTTTTGTGCCTGGGGCTTCTTCCTATTTCCCATTTTCTCCTCCCAGCCTGTGATACATGCTGACAGAACAATAGGAGAGGCGGATTCTCGAGTGGGGCGGGAGGTATGTGAAGCTGGAGAACAGTGGTGAAGAGAAGAAACAGACCTTCTATTGAGAATCAGCCCCTAGAACAAATCCAGCTAAATCCCTTCACTGAGAAAAGAGAACACTGAGGTCCTAAGGGGGCGCTGACTTGAACAAAAGCAACCACTCACCAGGAGCTGGGTCAGACCTAGGACCCGGGTTGTTCTTCTGCAGGACTGATGCTTCCTTCTTCGAGCTGTGCTAATTTGGTATTCAAGAGGTCAAGTCTACTTCAAGCTCAGTCCAGTGAGATCTAAAATTGGGGACTTACCGGAATCTAGCAGATAAGTATGGCAAGAGAGCAGGCATCTGAATAATATTGGTAACTTACGTTCTTCACAAGTTAAGGCACGCATTTGTAGCCTCACGTAGCAGAAAGGGTACGTGTTTTGCCCCTGGTTATACCCATAGTTAATATGATCAGGTCTTGTGAATCAAAGCAGAGTGCTTATGTCACTAAAATACTGTCTCACTAATGAACCACTAGTGTATTATTACCTACAAGCCCCATGAGGAAACCAGGAACGTCTCCTTGAGTCACTGCTGTGACTGTTACTGTGGCTTCCCATAGTACCGTCCTTTGCAGACAACGTCACAGTTCCACTTCTACACAGTTTGCGTGCCTATTTAATCAATGTTTAACTCCCTCCGTACACACTAAATGTCTTGAGCCCATGGGTTAATTTTTTTTTCTTCCTTGTATTTCTGGCTCAGAGCAGTATGTCTGATCCATTGTTTGTACACAGTGTGAGTTGGTGACATGAATGTGGAATACGGTATCAAAAAGAGTATTAAATTTCAAGGCAGAAGGCCTATATTTTAAATTCAGCTTTAACAATTATTATAAGCTCTTGGGGCAGAAAGCGTCTCAATGGTCAGTTTTCTCATCTGTAAAACCACAGTAACAACAGACAGTCAACAGATATTTTTCAGCACCAATTTCTGTGGGCCAGGTCCTGTGCTACAAGCTGGAGACACTGCTTCAGAAAGACAGAGCCTGGACATTTTGGCTGCTTCCATGTCTTGGCCATTGTAAATAGCGTTGCTGTGAACATTGAGGTACATGTGTCTTTTCGAATTAGAGTTTTCATCTTTTCTGAATATATGCCCAGGAACTGAGTAGCTGGAACTGGTAACATTATTTTTAGTTTTTTAGGGAAGTAAAATGTCTATCGACAGAAGAACGGCTAAAGAAGACGTAGTATATATATACATATAATGGAATAGTACTCAGACATAAATAGAATCAATGCCATTTGCAGCAACATGGACAGACCTAGAGATCATCATATTAAGTGAAGTAAGTCAGACAGAGAAAAACAAATATATGATATCACTTACGTACGGAATATAAAAAATGATACAAATGAACTTATTTACAAAACAGAAACAGGCTCACAGACATAGAAAACAAACTTATAGTTACCAGAGGGGAAAGGGTAGAGATGGATAAACTGGGATTTGGGG